GTCACCTCCTGGGTCTACTGCCAGTGGGGACGACTGGAGGCTTCGTCCATAGGCATTTCCTCCTCTTCACTTCTCTTTTTTAACTGAAACAACTTAACAGGGGTCAATAGGGAGATCAAATGATAACATAGTACATTTGAAGCTAACTACATCTACCATGATCCACTTTACCATGCTCTCTGTCTGATAGCAAGGCTATTCACATCCCTGACTGTGGTCGGGGGGGACTCCCTGGAGTGGATCCCTGTGTGGTCCCTGCAAATGGGTTTTGATCTTCCACTCTCATCCATAGCCTTCTGAAAACCAGGTGCTCACAAATGAAGTTCTGCTTCAGAGCATATGCATCGTTTCTTCCTCCCTCCCCGAACAGTTTTACTAGCAACTAATTAACTGTGTATACTTGAGGAGAAGCCAAGTTTTCAGCACATTTTTCATGCAGTTTTTGTGGTAAAATTAGGTGCCTCGGCAGATATTTGGGTCGGCTTATACTCGAGTATATACAGTACATATCATATCATTCAATAGTTCGATCATATCACACAGAATTGTACAATCAGCCCCACGTCAATTTTAGAGCCCCCCCCCCAATAAGTTCTCGGGTGATGTTACTGCTCTTGGTTGGGGGACCTCATTATGAGAACCATGGTCTAGAGAGCCCTGGGAGTTGAAAGCACTGATTTATGTTATTTAATCCAAACCTTACTGCCATTGAGTCAATTCTGACTAATAGTGACCTGATAGGACAGGGCAAGACTGCCCCTGTGATTTTCCAAGATTATAAATCTTTACAGGAACAGAAAGCCTCATCTTTCTCTTGTCGAGTGACTGGTGATTTTGAACTGCTGGCCTTTGGGTTAGCCGTCTAACGCTGATACCACTACAACAAAAGGGCTCCTTATTTTAATACTTAGCATCCTCAAAATTCATTTCCGCATTTGACTTTTTTGGTAGCTTATTTACAAATTTGGCTTTTGCATCTTGCTTATCTTCGTTCTTTCTTGAAGATATTCAACTCCCATACCTTATATGTCAACTTTGGACATTTCAGTTCACTGCTCCTTCCACATGTTAAGCCAATGGTTCTCAACCAGGGCCAATTTTCCCCTGCCCTCCTCCTAGAGACATGCATGGATGTCAAAATTAGTGGGGTGGTGGGTGGAAATGCAACTGGCATCCACTAAGTAGAGGCCAGGAAGCCTGCTAAAATGTCCACAATGTACAGGATAACCCTTTGGTTCAATTGGGGAATAGACTCTTTTGTTGTGTACAACTTTATAAATGGTGGCTCTAGGTTTACTATATTCATATTCTCAGATAGATCACTATAGCTGTCACCTTCTCTACAGTCTTATGGCAGTAAAGGCCTTATACAGACCAGGAGACTTACTCCACCTGGAGGAAATGGTCAGTGGTCCCAGGCATGGCCCATTGAACACAATACCAGTGTGCTTCATGGACAGAAAATGAGGATTTAGCAGATCAATTACATCTTTTCTACTTAATGGCAAACTAATAATTAAATTGGTTCCTTGCTCACTTGCTACTCTAAATTAACCAAATACCGTATATACTCAAGTATAAGCCAACCCAAATATCAGCCGAGGCACCTAATGTTACCCCAAAAAGTGGATTAAAAATGTGCAGAAAAACTCGACTTATACATGAGTATATATGGTAAATCAGTTTCCCATAAGGCTAGATCTCTTTGTGTCTTATTGCTGAATTTCTGTTGACCAGGACGATAAAATTAATATTTTCTTTTTAATTACCAAGAAGATCAATGCCTGTCTATTTGGAGCTCACCAAGTGATATTGATTTTTAAAAATGTGAAAGTCTAAAGACTGTTCAGAATGACTCCTTCACATCCATCCTGGCTGGTGGTCAGATGTTTCTTGACCCCCTTACCTGACATCAATTTATCCACAGTAGCTGTTGGATTTCTCCCTGAGGGTAGGGAGCATGTGAGACACGTCCTTTGAACATCTGTGACCAGCATGTCAGTAACTCCTAGAAGTTCTGGTGGGTAAGCCTAAAGTGGCCATCATGCATATCCGTTTTAGAGTATTTTAGCAGGCCAAGTCCCTCCTTACGAGGCTAGTCAGAGATTCTGGACTCAGATCAACTTAGATTCACAACCACGGTCTACCATTGACAAGAGAGAGGAGTAAACAACAACAACAACAACAAC